AGGTTACATGGATTCCAGTGACCCTAGTTCAGTGGTGGGCAACCTTTTTTTTCAACTGAGCCAAATCTCGCCAAAACCACGATTGAAATTTATTTTGAGAGCCACATTTTTAAAACTGAAAATACATCCCCCATATAGTAATTCATCCCCCATAGAGTAATTCATCTCCCATAGTAATTCATCTCCCCCATAGTAATTCATCCCCCATATAGTAATTCATCCCCCATATAGTAATTCATCCCCCCTATAGTAATTCATCCCCCATATAGTAATTCATCCCCCATATAGTAATTCAGGGCCCCTATAGTAATTCACTTCACCTTTGCCCCGCGCGTTCTGGCTCGCCGTGTTCCCGCGCTGCAGAGTCTGGTCTTTTGGGCGGACTGTGAGAGGAGGGAGTTTGTCACGCTGCCCCGCCTACAGGGGGCTGCCCGCCTACATCCTGACAGCTGCAGAGTCCTGACTTTTGGGGCGGCCGCCCGAGAGGAGGGAGAGGAGCGGCCGCCCGAGAGGAGGGAGGGGGGGCGGGCGCCCGAGAGGAGGGAGGGGGGCGGGCTCGAGAGGAGGGAGGGGAGCGGGCGCCCGGCACACAGAAGAGCTGCATTTAAGTTTGTAAAGAGCCGCATGTGGCTCGCGAGCAGCGGCTTGCCACCACTGCCCTAGTTCACACCAGTGCAGTGCGTTCTAGTACAGTCAACAAAAGTAGAACATTGCTACAAGGAACTGCACTGGAATGCAGCAAACTGCTCAAAAAGCACACAAACGCATTGCAGAAGAATAACCAAAGAATCTTTGAAAACTTTCATGCAAATATGCATTTCTGTGTTTGTTTATATACCCAAGTACTCTTTTATTGTGTTTGTTCCAGGTGACCTCCTTCCTCCCACCCCCCTAAAATGCCTGGGTGGGAGATTGCACAAGCAGGTGGGTGATTCATCTTGACAGAATCTGAAGCATAGTTATCAGTTTTTGGTGGAATGACCTTTCAAATTGACCGTAGTGATGTCATCAGTACCACGTACGACTTTCACATCTCTCTGTGAAGAGGACCTGTTCCCAGCAGAGCAGACTTGTCATCTGTCCCAGTTGCAGACATGTCCACATTTTCAAATGTTTGTCTCTATGGGTCCCTGCTGTTTTTTCTGTGCAGCACTAGGCATCAATAGGCTTATTCGGGTTGAACGGAATCGGATTCTGCCATCCACACACTCCATGTGAATGGTGGAATCGTCGCCACTGAGCTATTGTATACTGACAGCAGGGAGACTTCCCTGCCATCAGAATACATTGATCAGCGTCGCAGTCTGTAGCCAGCAGGGCTGATCGAGCAGTAAAAATTCAACAGTGTGGTTGTAGACAAGTCGATCAGTAGGTCAACTTCTGTACAAACAGTCTGATGGATAGAAATTTGACTGGTCCCTGCTGAACTGGCTGAATTTTGATCCATATGTGCTTTAGGCTGAAATCACACTTGAGCCGGGCGACTTTGGTCCCTTTTTTTTTTTTTTTTTTTTTTTTTTTTTACATGCGTTTTATTGAACAAACTGTTTGTACAGGTGTTTTTGAGCATTTTGCATTTGTATTTAAAGTGGTTCTAAAGGCTTAAAGCGGAGTTCCAGCCACACTGTAAAAAAGCAGCTACAAAAATAGCCACTCACCTCTCCCTCGATTCTGCGGTGTCCTCCACACAGCCCATTTCATTGGCCATCCGGCATTCTGGGCACCGGCATCTTCATTGTGGGCACCCGTCTGTGACGGCTTGCAGCTTCACAGCGGGGTGCGCACTGCGTATGTGCGAGAAGCGCTGCACTTTGTGAATGGTCCTGTAGTCTTCTCAGGGACCTGTCATGTGCCCCAGAAGACTACGAGGAGGGAGTGGGGCAGGACGACTTCTTCCGATCGCCTAGGCCAGGGGTCTCCAAACTTTCTAAATAAAGGGACAGTTTACTGTCCTTCAGACTCTGAGGGGTCCGGACTGTGGCCAGTGAGAGTAGAAAAATGCCCTGAAAGTAAACAATGCCCTATCGTTCGTGAGAGGAATATTGCCCCATTGTTGGTATCAGGGGGAGGAATAGTGCCCCATCATTGGTGTCAGTGGGAAGAAGAGTGCCCCGTTGTTGGTGTCAGTGGTAGGAATAGTGCCCCGTTGTTGGTGTCAGTGGTAGGAATAGTGCCCCGTTGTTGGTGTCAGTGGTAGGAATAGTGCCCCGTTGTTGGTGTCAGTGGTAGGAATAGTGCCCGTTGTTGGTGTCAGTGGTAGGAATAGTGCCCCGTTGTTGGTGTCAGTGGTAGGAATAGTGCCCTGTTGTTGGTGTCAGTGGGGGGAATAGTGCGCTGTTGTTGGTATCAGTGACAGGAATTATGCCCTGTTGTTGGTGTCAGTGGTAGGAATAGTGCCCTGTTGTTGGTATCAGTGACAGGAATTATGCCCCGTTGTTGGTGTCAGTGGTAGGAATAGTGCCCTGTTGTTGTATCAGTGACAGGAATTATGCCCCGTTGGTGAATAGTGGTATCAGTAGGAATTATGCCCCGTTGTTGGTGACAGTGGTAGGAATAGTGCCCTGTTGTTGGTATCAGTGGTAGGAATAGTAGTGCCCTGTTGTTGTTGTATCAGTGGTAGGAATTAGTGCCCCGTTGTTGGTGTCAGTGGTAGGAATAGTGCCCTGTTGTTGGTGTCAGTGGTAGGAATTATGCCCTGTTGTTGGTGTCAGTGACAGGAATTAGTGCCCCGTTGTTGGTGTCAGTGGTAGGAATAGTGCCCCATTGTTGGTTGGTCAGTGGTAGGAATAGTGCCCCGTTGTTGGTGTCAGTGGTAGGAATAGTGCCCCGTTGTTGGTGTCAGTGGTAGGAAATAGTGCCCTGTTGTTGGTGTCAGTGGGAGGAATAGTGCCCTGTTGTTGGTGTCAGTGGTAGGAATAGTGCCCTGTTGTTGGTATCAGTGACAGGAATAGTGCCCTGTTGTTGGTATCAGTGGGGGGAATAGTGCCCTGTTGTTGGTATCAGTGACAGGAATAGTGCCCTGTTGTTGGTATCAGTGACAGGAATTATGCCCTGTTGTTGGTGTCAGTGGGAGGAATAGTGCCCTGTTCTTGGTATCAGTGACAGGAATTATGCCCCGTTGTTGGTGTCAGTGGGAGGAATAGTGCCTTGTATAAGTGGGAGGAATAGTATCCCAAGGGCCAGATAAAGGCAAGCAAAGGGCCACATCCGGCCCCTGGGCTGCAATTTGGAAACCACTGGCCTAGGTGATTGCAGCGAAAGTGGGAGCAGGTACCTGTCAATTTTGGGTACCCGCTCCCAAAAGGTGCCAATCCTTAATGGGGAGCGGGGGTCCAGTCTTAAAGCGGAACTTCCCTTTTTTTGTTTTTTTTACCTTTATGTATTCACTGCATTAAAATGGATGTAAATCCTTACATATACCCAGTGAAGTGACTGGCCTTGTGTGATGAAACACATCCTCCTATATTAGTTGTACCTGTTTATCTATACTCTTCTCTTCTGTACATCTATTCAAAGTCCAGAATTTACAAAGCTTGTTTGACAGTTCAGAAAAAAGGGGGTGGAGAGCTGCAATTACACTCTGCAGAGCTCAGTGGGGAGAACAATGATAGCTAATTGGAGGAAAGAGACAAACCCCTTTTCACACAGCACACAGGAACAGAGCTGAGGCTGGCAATCTGCTGGAGTTCCCTCCCCAGTCACCATTTTTCTCTTGGTGTCAGGAAAACTTGTCAGAAGTGACTCATGCTGATAGCAGAGGAACGAATCAGCGGACAGAAATGACACTTAGTGCTCTGGATTGAGACAAGTACACACTATAGAGGGATGTGCTTTGTTCATATTTTATGGCTGAAGTTTACAACCACTTTATGATAAAAAAAAAACCCTTCTGTGTTCTGCTCCCCCACAGCCCCTCCCCCAAACATTTTCTTGAGGCCGATCTCGATCCAGTGCTATGCCTGAGAGCAGCATCTCTCTCTTTTCTCTCCCTTGTCATTGGACCTGGAGATGGCTGTCAATCACAACTAATGATGAGGAAGTGGGGGGCCGACCAAGCCGTACTGTGTATGTCAATAGACACACAGAGCGTGGCTCAGGATCGAGGCCGCACGAGTGCCCTCATAGAAAGCGGCTTGCTATGGGTGCATTCAGCAGGGGGGGGAGGAGCCAGGAGCAGCGGCGGGGGGACTCAAGAAGAGGAGGATCTGGGTTGCTCTGTGCAAAACCATTACACAGAGCAGGTAAGTGTGACATTGTTATTTAAAAAAAATACTTTAAGTATTTATTTCATATTATTTTTAGCTAGTTGCTATGGGAAATATGCACGTATAGGCATTTTTGCATGGTTTTTATTGAAGCCTATTGGGGACAAAAGCACTTTTTTGAGCTATTAGCCTCAAGTGACACTATGCTCAGGTTCGAACAGGCATAACTGAACACCATAGGAATTTGGATGTTGAGCGTTTTGGAGCTTCGAGCTACAAACTGCTCAGATGTGAACCGGACCTAATGTTTTATTGCTACCCTTTTTTTCACTTTGTGCTTTTGTAGATATTCCATTTTTACTACCACCCAATTAATGACATAACAGTCAGTTTTTACTACACCCAATTAATGACCTAACTAAGAAAGCAGCGTGTTGCTTTTGATGTAATGAGGTTGGTACAGCCGTTTGCGGTAATAGGTATTAGTGCCAATTAAAGGTCTAAAGATCTAATGAGAAGTAAATGTCACCCTGCAAGGAGAAGTTCACCTTTATGAAAAATAATAAATGCACATTTTTGCTGAAAAAAAAGTGCGTTTATTTTTTTCACAGGAGCCTGCAGAGCATTGCACCCATAATATCAGGCTTCTGCAGACACTGCCTATGGCTCTGTACCCAGGGTGGATTTGATTTAAATCAAGTTGATTGAAATCACTAGTGAAAAGGCGCGATTTAAATCATTGTTTTTAACCACTTCCCGTCCGGCCCATGTACATAGACGGAGCAATGCTGGAGTGTGTTGCCGTTCACAAACAGCGCCCGCATTTTCAAGCTGTGCGCACTTCCTGGGAGTGCGCGGCACTGCTGTACGGGACCTCTGTGTGAGGTGCCGATTAAGCCATCACTGATTGGCCAATCAGTGATGACACGAATAGTAGTAAGCAAGATGCCACTTGTGACATCATTGCTTACTACTAGTGAAATCTGTGAATGATCACAGAGGTCACATGGTACAAGGCTATTTACAACAGCCTTGTACCATGTGACAATCTGTAACCAATCACAGCTATTACAGTATTTCTTAATGGCTGCAAGAATGCAGCCAGAGAGAAGGAGAAATTATTGATTTTACAGCCTTTATGGGTATAAAAGCAATCAGTATAAAAAAAAAATCATCTCCTCCACAAGTAGTACAGTGTCACTATGATGACACTGTACTGCTAGGGTGACAGCATGTTAAAAAAAAAAAACAAAAAACAATAAATAATAATATAAAAAAATGACATTTCTTTGTAAGTGGGCAAACATTAAAAATCAGCAGGGGATCAAATATTTATTTCTTTCACTGTAACCGAATACATTTTGGTCAAGATTTATGAAGAAAGATTATTTATTTGCAAAATGTTATAAGAAAAACACTTTTTTTTTTCAAAATTTTTGGACTTTTTCATTTATATAGCAAAAAAAAAAAAATCCCATTGGTGAATAAATACCACCAAACGTTTTATCTGTTTCAAAAAAATGCAAAAAAAAATTCATATGGGTACAGTGTTGCATGACCACGCAATTGTCATTCAATGTGTGATAGCACTGAAAGCTGAAATTGGCCTGACAGGAAGGGGGTAAAAGTGTCTGGACTGGAAGTGGTTAAAGAGCAACTGTCATCTCTGTCCCACAGCGGCTCCTCCTCTGACCCGCTGTTGAGTCACTGACAGTCCCATTCACTTTAATGGGACAGCTGGTGATGCGGCAGTGACACAACAAGGTGAGGGATGTGGTGGCAGCAGGTGAGTGGATGACCGCTAACAGGCGCTGCCGTGATGGATCTAAAATGACAGGTGCTCTTTAAATGTAAGGAATACAACTCATCCTTGCTGGTAGTTAGAATCTTTAATATTTGCAAACCAAATGAAGGAATAATAAGCTGTCAGTTTAGTAAAACAGCGATATCAGAACCGATTTTAGGTTAATAGGTAATCACACATAGCTGGAGAACGACTCAGATTCTTTTATTTCATGTTTTTTCTCATGGTTACTGTGAAATTGTGTGAATGCATCAATACAGTGCATGTTATCTCAGCTTGCAGAGCTTGATTCATTGAATGAGTTTTCCAAAAATGTAAATATTGCAGAGTACACAGCATTCTTCATAACTAAGCTCCATTTCATGCTGAATAAACTCCGTTATTAATGTATCTTAAATAGAAAACTATCTTTTAGATAGATGTTTACTCCAAAGGCATTTTATTAAAATCATTTTGATAAAAATTAAAAAAAATCTGATTTAAAATAAATAATAATAAAAAAATCCAATTTAAAATAAATAATACAAAAAAAATTCGATTTTTATCCACCCTGTCTGTGCCTGTACCGCTGTATGGGCTGTTCGTTTCAGAGCTGCAGAAAATGTGAATAGACTTGGGAAGGCGCTGATCAACATGCTCACAGTCCATTTAAATTACAAGTCCTTCTCATTCACAGATTGCTGAGTCCCAAATGTGACAATGGCTGCGGGGAAGAGGAACCCCTGCCCACTGTCACAAGGGAAGGGGGGGGGAGTCTACTTGAACATGTTACATATTACACCCTAAGTACAGAAGTCACATGTAACATATTCAAGAGGTGAACCTATACTTTAAGTGTACATGTAACATGTTACACCCATATTGAGGCCAGGTCCACACCTGTGTGCTTTTTTTGCGTTTTTCAGGAACGCAGTGCATGCCATTTATCATGATTTCCTATGGATCACGTTCACATCTATGCTTTTTTTGCGGGCACGTTTTTTTTTGGAAAGAGTCAGGTTCTTTTTTTTTTTTTTTTTTCCTGCAGCAGTTTTTGTTTTTAGTTCAATGGAACCTCATATAAAAGGCGCTGTGTTTTTGCATGCCTTTGTGATGCGTTTTCCTTTTTTAGTCTGCCCAGCACCAAGTTGGCAAAAAAACAAAAAACAACAAAAATGCATCAAAACACATCAAAATTGCATCTGCCAAAACACAGCGCAGCGCTGGAGAAACGGGTCAAACGCAAACTGCGTAGGTGTTGTGAACCTAGCCTTCAGATGTAACGTGTTACTGACCCCCCCCCCCCGCAACCGTGTGACAGTTGGCAGGGGTTCTACTCCTCGCATCCACTGTCACATTCTGAAAACGGGAATCTGTGAATTAATAAACTAAAGTAAGTCCTCTCTTCCACCACAGCTTCCCCAAACGATATATATATTTTCTCTAGGCATCTTCCAGGACGGCACACCTGAGAGATGACTAAACTCTGTAAATTTTCATTGTATTTACTGTCAGGTGGAGCTAAATTCCCCGTCCTTCCCTCCACTCCTCAGATTGTGATTATGTTTCACTGCAGCGAAAAACATTTGTTTGTCTTTTTTTTTTTTTTTTGCAGACCGGGAGCTGGAAGATCAGGGGGTTATAACAACTGAGCTGGGGAGGGCAGGCTGCCCACAAGGAAGAAAAATATATTTTAGAAATATTCTTCCCAAATATGTTGACATATATTTGAAATACTACAATTTTGGCCATAATAGAAAAAAAAAAAAAATATATATATATACACTGTATGTTGAAATGCGTTTTTATTACAAAATATATGAAATATATGCATGGTTTTTAAAAATATATTTTTTAAATATATACTTCAGATTTTTTTTTACATATAAAAAAAAGTCATTTTAACATATATTTTTACATATATTTGTGAATGCATTCTGAAAATGTAGATTTGTATTTTTAAAGACATACAGATTATTTCAAATGTATTTTTAAAAATATTTTATATATATTTTGTAATAAAAAAGCATTTCAACATACAGTGTGTGTGCATATGTATGTGTATATGTATATATATATATATATATATATATATATGTATATATATATATATATATATATATATGTGTGTGTGTATACAGTTGCAGGAAAAAGTATGTGAACCCCTTGGGATTACGTGGAATTTTGCATGAATTGGGCATAAAATGTGCTCTGAACGTCATCTAAGTCACAACAATAGAAGAACACAGTCTGCTGAACATAATACTACACAAACATTAGATGTTGTCATGGTTTAATTGCACATAACATGTAAACAGTCACAGTGCAGGGAGGAAAAAGTATGTGAACCTTTGGACTTAATAACTGGTTGACCCTCCTTTGGCAGCAATAACCTCAACCAAACGTTTCCTGTAGTTGCAGATCAGACCTGCACAACGATCTGGAGTAATTTTGGACCACTCCTCTTCACAAAACTGTTTCAGTGTAGCAATATTCTTGGGATGTCTGGTGTGAATCGCTCTCTTAAGGCCATGCCACAGCATTTCAATCGGGTTGAGGTCAGGACTCTGACTGAGCCACTCCAGAAGGCGTATTCTGTGCTGTTGCAGCCATTGTTTTGTTGAATTACTTGTATGCTTTGGGTCATTGTCCTGTTGCATCACCCATCCTCTGCGGAGCTTCAGTTGGCGGACAGATGGTCGTACGTTTTCCTGCAAAATGTCTTGATAAACTCTGGAATTCATTTTCCCATCAATGACAACAATCCTTCCAGGCCCTGAGGCAGCAAAGCAGCCCCAAACCATGATGCTCCCTCCGCCATGTTTTACAGTGGGGATGAGGTTTTGATGTTGGTGTGCTGTGCCTTTTATTCTCCACACATAGTGTTGTGTGTTCTTCCCAAACAACTCAATCTTGGTTTCATCTGTCCACAGTATATTTTGCCAGTAGTGCTTTGGAACATCCAGGTGCTCTTTTGCAAACTTCAAACGTGCTGCAATATTCTTTTTGGAGAGCAATGGCTTCCTCCGTGGTGTCCTCCCATGTACTCCATTCTTGTTTAATGTTTTCCTTATTGTAGATGTGTCAACAAAAATGTTAGCATGTGCCAGAGATTTCTGTAGGTCTTTAGCTGACACTCTGGGATTCTTCTTTACTCATGCAGCATTCTGCGCTGTGCTCTTGCAGTCATTTTTACAGGACGACCATGCCTAGGGAGAGTAGCACCAGTGCTAAACTTTCTCCATTTGTAGACAGTCTGTCTTACCGTGGACACATGAACATCAAGGCTTTAGGAGATACTTTTGTAACCCTTTCCAGCTTCATGCAAGTCAACAATTCTTGATCGTAGGTCTTCTGAGAGCTCTTTTCTGCGAGGCATGGTTCACATCAGACAGTGCTTCTTGAAACCAGTAAACCCAAAACAGGTGTGTGTTTTTTAAGGGCAGGACAGCTGTCAGCAACACATCCAATATCATCACACTGATTGGAGTCAAGGTTGGCTCACTCCTGGCTCCAATTAGCTCTGGGGGAAGTCATTAAGCTAGGGCCTCACATGCTTTTTCCTCCCTGCACTGTGAATGTTTACATGTTATGTGCAATTAAACCATGGCAACATCTAATGTTTGTGTAGTATTATGTTCAGCAGACTGTGTTCTTCTATTGTGTTGTGACTTAGATGATGTTCAGAGCACATTTTATGCCCAATTCATGCAAAACTCCACGTAATCCCAAGGGGTTCACATACTTTTTCTTGCAACTGTATGTATATGTGTGTGTGTGTGTGTGTGTGTGTGTGTGTGTGTGTGTATATATATATATATATATATATATATATATATATATATATATATATACATTTTTTTTTTATTGAAATATATTGTGTACGGCCAAAATTGTAGGATTTCAAAAATTGTAGGATTTCAAATATGTCAATATATTTGGGAAGAATATTTTTAAAATATATTCCATATGGATGTAACCGGGGTCACTCACCCACTCCAGGGGCCCCAGTTGGCTCTTCAGGGACGGGCACCCTTCCTTTGTCTTCAGGGTCAGTGGGGAGGCATGTCCAGGAGAGGACTGGGCCGCGAGGTGGCTTCTCGCGGGTATGGGACCACCAGCTGGCATCTTGATTGCGCGTTGCACCCCTGTAGGGTGAGGGGGTAGCCATGGTGGAGCCACTACTAGGCCACTGCTAGGCAGGTAGAAAGCCAAGGGTCCGT